AAGCAGATCAGTGCTGGCCGCATGATGTTTGTATGGGACTTGGAGCAGAGCAGCTAACACCACCCAAAGAAATTGAGGGAAACTTTGCAAAGCAGTTACATTTGTGTTGGGTGACAATGAAATAATTGAAATTTTCAGGGCAGAATGTCAGGCTGGAGGACAGCATACTAGGCAGAGGGACAGCAAGTGCGAAGGCACAGGTTATAAAGGGGCAGGCATCACCCCGGCTGGGTGGGTCAGTTGGTTGGAGTGTCTTCCCATACACTGAAAGTTTGCAGGTTTGATTCCCAGTTAGGGCACATACCGAGGTTGTGTGTTCCATCCCTGGTCGTGGCATGTATGGGAGGGAACCGATAAATGTTTTTTCTCTCTCTCCCTTCCTCTCTCTCTCTAAAATCAATAAACATATCCTCAGGTGAAGATTTAAAAAATAATTTTAAAAAATAATAAAGGAGCAGGCATCTGCAGGGAAGTGAGGAAATAGGAATTTGTCAAGAACTCAGGGAGAGAGGCTGAAATGATGCTGGAGGGTGTCTAGAACAAGATTCTGAAAGATTTCTGTGCCCAGAGAAAGAACTGGAGTGTGTGTGTGTGTGTGTGTGTGTGTGTGTGTGTGTGTGTGTGTGTATGTGTTTATAGACAATGAGGAGTCGGGAATGTTTTCAGGTGGGGTGACATGCTAACTTTCAAAGATGGCTCTTGGGGCAGCCTGAGGACTGACCTCCATGTGCCAAGGGGTGTGGGTGGGGGACCGTGGAGCCAGACCCACCCATGTGCTGGTGAACAGTCATGCTGTGGACAGTGGCGGGCTAGTCCCGTGCCCCTCGGGAGGGACTGCAGTGTCTTCCGTGCACTTGACCTGGCGAGCAGAGTGCAGGCGCAGTCCCCGCCTGCATGTGTCCCCAGTCGGGTGGCCGGCGCTGAAGCTTCCATAAGCACATGGGTGGAGAGATGGGGTGCAGGAGCCAAGGGTAGGGTTGTGCATGGCACAGCTGCCTCTGGAGCCAATGAAAACGGTAGAGTGTAAGGACAGGCACTTTGATAAATCCACAAACGTGGCTTCGTGACCCTGGGCAAGTTATAAATCTCTCTGAGCCTTAAGTTCCCTGTATGTTAAATGGCGACAAAAGTACCTACCTCATTGGGTTGTGCGAACTCAATGAGATAATGCATGGAAAGCATGTAACCCAGTAAGCATATAGTACACACTCATACGTGTTTGCTGTCAGTATTCCCACTACTACCAACAATAAAGGAGATCGCCCTTCTGGGAAAGGGTATTAGCTGTGTGTGCACTCAAGTCGGTGCCCCCCCTCTCCTTGGCTCCTGCCTACCCAAACCTCAGTGGGTGGGAGGCCAGGTCCAGAGGTGGACAGCAGGGGTGGGGACTGGATAAGTCTCAGCATCACAGAGGTCACCTCTGTACTTGCCAGATCAGAGCGGTCTGGGGACACCTGTTCCTGGGGCAGGGCCACTGGAGGAAGCCCCACGCATAGGGTTCACGTGGGAACAGGTGTTTCCCGCCCAGCCCTCCACCTCTCTGCAGCCTCATTTCTTTCAGACCCACTTGCCCTGTCTTCAGCCTGCTCTGCCTTTCCGGACCCATCCTGCCACCCACTCTCTCTCTCAGCTACTGCCCCTCCCCGCCCTCTCCCTGCAAGGGAAGGGGTTCTTGCTAAGGACTTTTGCCCCTTTTCTCTGGATGTTTCCAGCAGTGGCAGAAGTCAGGTGGGCCTCTGGGCATGGAGATTTCCAGCACAGGTGGCCTTGTCAGCTGGGCCAGGTGGGGCTAGAGTTTTCTGGGGAGCAGTAATGCCCTGGCCAGCTGAGCAGATGGGGCAGAGAGGAGAAGGTGAGTGCAGCAGCAGAAGGAACTGAGGCCCTGGGTCTGCCTAGGGAGAGAGCAAGCTGGGGGGAGGGACCAGGGTGTTGCCAGTGGGGGATGGAGAGTGATTGGCACAGGGTGTTTTGGTGGCATAAGCACAGCACAGGTTAACAGGTGGCAGCGACTGTGGGCTGCTGGGTAGGCAGATCTATCTAAAATGAACCCCTACCAGCACCCCAGCTGTCATCTTCACAGCATTTAGTAAAACCTGAAATTAAGTTTATCTCTTCGTTGTCAGTAGGCTTTATCTCATCTGGGGCTCTATTTTTAGCATCTCAAACAATGCGCAGCACACAGTAGGTCCTCAGTAAATATTTGCTGAATGGAAGACTGAAAGATCACCATCATCATTGTTCAAAGAAGCATCATTACTCCTTTACTATGGCTGAGTAGCCATGGAGCCCATGCTACGTGTGGGGATCAGTCAGGCACCCTCTGGTCTACCAGAGTGTCACAGTGCTGCCTGTCTCTTTGGAGGTGCTCAACAGCCTTGGGTTTGAAATCCTGGGATCACATGGGCTGTGTGGCTGAGAGGGGTTTTGATCTTTGTCTATGTCTGTGCCCTATGTCCAACTCCAAGGGCAAGGGTCTTCGTCTAGGGAGGTGAGTGAGTAGGTGCCTCCTAGAGTCAGTGGCAGAACTGTGTCGGTCTGTTGGAAGTTGGGCTCATTACCAGGAAAAGGAGGCCCTCATGTCCTTGGCATTAGAGCAAGACTGCATTTCCTGTCCTGGAATAGAGAAGTTCCATGAAGACTGGGAGTAGCATCTCTCCCAGGCCTAGAGGGGCAAGACCTGCAAGCCCTCAGCCTCCAGGTAGCAGGTGTCTGCAGGCTGACGTCACCAGCCGCAGCAGCCGTGACCGGGGCTCTGTCCAGTCACAAGGCCAAAGAAGGCACCGTCCTGTTTCATGTCCCTGGTGCATCCCTACTGAGCACCTGCGCATGAGGAGTGTGAAGCCTCACTTACTAGGTTTCTGTGAACCTAACTACAAGATACCTGGGTGAACGTGAAAAAACGCTCACAATCACATTCCCATATGTTATAGGCACAAAACCAAGCATCCACCTAATTGCATTTTCACTCCGCAACCAGAGATTGCGTGTGATACAGTCCATATTTCATAGAACTCTCTATATGTGTGCATGTAGTTTTTAAGTTATTCGTGTCTCCTGCTGGTAGACAGAATATTTCACATTGTTAGACTATTAGCTTTTGTAGATGACATTCTTCATATCTCAGGGTTGGCCCAGGGCTAAATTTTTTCTCTTGTTTGCAGGTGTCATGTCCTGGTTAGATGTTTGACACCTTGTTCTTAATAAGTGCCATGAGGCTGGGAGTCATCATCGTATCAGGGCCTTCTTCTCACATAGCCATGTGACGGCGCAGGGACCGGAACTCCTTGGGCCTCAGGTTCCCGGCTCTAATTTGAAGAGGTTGGCTTAGTTACTGAGTTTCCTTTCAGAGCAAAAGAATCTCTGATTCAAGTAATATTTTCACGTGAACCCTATAATCTTTCCTCATGGAGGGAAACATGATCTGTGCCACCATCCTAGCTAGAGACTGATGAGTGCTCAAGTTTAGGAGAGCATCAAATATCCCCGTGATAAATACGTTAAGGCCTGGTTGTGTTTTCTTTCATAGTTCCTTCCTGAGGAATTGAGTCTGTTAAGCTAGTTCATGCTCATCTTTTTTTTTTTTTTTTGACAGTATGCTTAAAAATAAAGGCGAGGGCTTTACTTGATACCTTTATTTGTATGCAAAACAGCGCACCAGTCATGAGATATGAAAAACTCGTCAGATAGAAACCAGATTATATCTATTTTCACTACAAAATATTGCATTATATAAAGCAACAGAGACACACAAAAACCCTGAAAAAGACTAAAATCTTTGGATAGCAGGTGTGGTTTTTTTTTTCCCCCCTTATCTCTAAAATACACTCCTCGTTTTAAGAGTTTCACAGCTGAGAACATGAAACATTTTCAGGTTATAGACTTTTCTTTTTGGTTGTCACAGAGGAAAGTAGTTTCTGAATTCTTTTTTTTTTAGGAAAATAACTTAATTTCCTAAAATCATCCCAGGCACAAACATCACACACACACACACACACACACACACACAGAAGCTACTTCCTTATAAACAGTTTGTAAAGTACTTTTCAGACATAACTACAGATAAGAATAACAACACTTACTTTTTTAAAAAACTATAATAGTGGAGTGTTAGTGTTGCTGATCTCACCACAAACATCTTAATATATAAAATATGTTTAGAAACAGGGAGAAGTGGGAAATTTGTTATGCAAGTGCAATATAATTAGAGCCAAAAGAAAGACCACAGTATAATCTCAACAAACACGTAAAAAGTATTATTCCACAGGAAAAAGTGTAAACACGTGACTATAAATTAATTGGCACAGAGTATCCAAAGTAAAGTTATCACCACTCTGAAAAATAAATGTCTTGGAAAAAATACTCTACTCCTTCTAACATAAATAAAAATAGGTAGTCTTTTTCTAACTGCACCTATGGGTCCACGCGTTTAAGGTCACGAATAGATGTTTTTGGATATATAAAGGGGCACTTTGCCTGAAAACGCAGTCAGATATTAAGTTTTCCATTTAAATATGGATTTTCCTGTCTACATTAGAGTCATACTTCAGGGTTCAGTTCCCTCCAAGCTTAGATCGTCCCACACTGTGTCTGTCTGTTCTCACTGTATCTTTTTGAGCTTACCAAGTATGCAATAGGGCTTGTCTGTTGTAGTTGGTTTCTAATCTAATCTTTCTTTTCGCATCTGAATAGAAAATTTCCTGTTCCACCTTCAGGTGCCTAAAATCTCTACCCTGGAAGACATTCCCTCCCTTCCCCTCCGGATGTTTGGTGATTTGTCAGTTAGAAAAATCCAGATCGGCTAAAGTTATGAGCCTATACTCAGAGCTTCTGCCCTCATTTTTTCAAAACTTGGAAGATTCGTGGGAGATAAACTAAGGAGAACTCCAAGTCTCCAGTGAGCTAAAGGAAACACCCTTAAAGGGATCCTAACGCAGGGAGGGGAGGCCTGGGGGCGGCCCAACTCCAGTGCCCCCGGGGGTCCGCCGGCCTGGGAAGTACCCCCTGCAAGCCCCACAGCTTGCCAGACAACCCCACCTTCCAGAGTGGGAAACCTTCCCTCGTCCCCCTGCTGATTCGAGAGAACGCAACACGCTGATAACTTCTTCCATGGTCCAAGTCTCCGGGGTCGGTCTCAGTCCCCCGACATCCAGACCCGCAGCCTCCGGCAACGCTCCCGCCCCTACACGTCCAGGACGTGGTTGAGATACGAGATGTAGCAGATGGCCAGGCGCAGGATCTCGATCTTGGAGAGCTTCTTGTCCGGGGGCAGCGTGGGCAGCAGTTTGCGGAGCTCGGCGAAGGCCAGGTTGAAGGCCTCCACGCGGATGCGCTCGCGGGTGGCGTGAGCCGACCTGTACTTGGCCGTGGCACGCCGGCGGCGGCGCTTCTCCTCGCGGCTCAGCTGCTGCGGGTGCGGGTAGAGCGCGGCCCGGCCGCCGCCCTTGCCGTCGCCCTCGGCCTCCTCCACCGGCTCCAGGTCCGACACGTTGCCCAGCACCTTGGCGTCCGCGCCGCCCAACGACTCCGGATCCGAGTGCGCTGAGCTAGGGTGGTCCGAGTCGGCAGCTTGGTCCGGACTCAGCATCATTTTGGAGGCTGAGGGGGAGTCAGAAAATCAATCAATAAAAGGAATCAGGGTCTTCGATAGGTGCGGGAGCGGGGGACGGCCTCCTTCCCACCCCAGGCCCGCGCGCTCGGGGGGAGCTGGCCGGGCGGGGAGGGAGCCGTCTCTCCTAGGCAGGGCCGCATCCTGGACCTGAGACCTCGGCCGGCAGGAGGCCCAGCCCGGGACGACCGCAAGCCTGTGACGCCTGGGTTTTGTGCGCCTCGGGCAATAGACCAACTCCATCATTCTGCCTCCCTCACTTCATTTCCTTCGTTGACAAATGACGAAGGATGAACACATCTGGCTTTCGCGGGGGAGGGAAGGGAGAAGGGGAAGGAATCCGGCTCCCGGGCCTCCCGCTGTTCTGGGGCACAGGCTGGGGCGCCCAGGGCTGGAGAAGGGTCCGGTCCCGCGGGCAGACGGGGAGCAGGCCCAGAACTCGAAGGCGTCCTGGTCCCCCCCAGTGCTTCTCCGAAATCATAAAGAAACGACTAAACAAACGGAGGCTCCTTTCAGCACAACAGAGACGCTCGTGCCCTCGCAGGCTCCCGAAGCACCATCTGTCACACAGGCAGCCACACACATCAGGGACCCAGGGACGTGGAGACTTGACCTGCGATAAGACAATGCGCCCGGCAACCTGCCGACCACTCCCGGGAAAACGCTGGCGGCCGGGGCGCTGCAGGAGGAGAGGCTGGGGAGGAAGGGAAAGGCAGGGCGCGGGACCGGAGGAGGTGGGCAGGTCTGGCCCCAGCTACACCTCTGCCCGCAAAGTTTGGGTGCTGGGGGGCCAAAGCCCAGAGCCGGCCACCCTCTCGGACGGCCTGGCCAAGGCCCGGCAGGTCTGTCCCCAGCTTTTTCCTCTGACGCTGGCTTCCTGGAAAGGTCCCCTTGTCCGGCTCCTCCGGCGTCTAGAGTTCGCCCCTCCTGCGCGCCTTTGGGAAGGGAGCGGCCCAGGATCGCTGGGCTCCAGGGGAATTTGGCGTCTAGAAAGGGGCCAGCTCGAGGGGCCAGCAGCTGCGGGTACCGAGCGCAACTACTGCGGGCGCCCCGGGCGCAAGGACCAGGCTGGGAGCCTGGGGCCCTGCGTGTGCAGCCGGAGCGACCTGGCCGGGGAGAAACCCGCATGGGCGCCAGGGTTTGCTTCCAGAGACAAAAGCGGGGACACGCGCTCCGCTCCCAGCACCACACTGGCTTGGGAGAGAATTTGGCTTCAAGACCGCTTTCACTCCCTGCGAGGAAAACATGTCCTCTAAGGCAAAATAAAAACAACCCTCCCAGTGAACTACCTGTGATTCCCTGCGGCTTTTAACGGATACATTTATAAATAGAGCAACTTGCGCCTACACACTGGCTTGAAAGGGTATAAATAAATAAGCCAGGAAATCAGAATAAGCCACTACAGTTGTAGCTCAGGCAAAAAGTTCCTGGATTGCCCTCAAAGCATGATACATTCTCCTCCAGATATCTTTTTTTAAATATTCATAAAAAGCACATCGTGTGTGTATTTTATTTCTTTAACATTTGCCTGAAATGCATCTGTCAATGCAATATGAACAAACTAACTTAGTTCCACACCGGAAAAAAAATTATTTAAAGGAGCCTTACCTTGTAAAAGCCTTTTCGATAATCTTTTCTCCAATCTTTTAGAGTTAAAATTCCAGGGAATACAGGGGAGGGACTCCGAAATATATTAAAAGCAGAAAATATTTATTACATTCAAATATGAAAAAGCAGCTGTCATCTCGCCGGTGTCCACACTGAGGAACGATAATATCTCAGGATGTGGACCGTATCAGTGATTGTTTACTTAGCTGATAGATCAAAACGCCTTTGCCTTTTAATTGTTCGCAAACATTTCGGGAAATTCGTTGTTGGTTTTCTTCCCCCCAAAATACCACGGGAGGTGTTGAAAAGTCTCCTGCCTTTTCTCCTCTTCTAGGTCTCTATAAATAACAAAAGAGATGCAGAGATAAACACAGTCACATCAGAGGGCTGATTCCTCCACTTTCTAATAGCAGAAGAATCAATAAGAAAGATGGTTAAGATAAGATACGGCTCCTGTAGGATTCCTTTTCCTCCCCTTAAGAGGGCTGAGCAGAAACTGGGAAGTACAAGGCAGAGATGCGATCTGGCTCAGAAGTGATTTTTTTTTTTTTTTTTTTTTGAGATAAGGCTTTGTTCAGCTGATGTCTCCCCAGTTCCCAGGAACACAATACTATAACTCGGGGCTAAGCGTGTCTCTTCCTCTTCCCACATCTACTTGTATGTTGTATAAACAGACACCTATTTCCAGTTTCAAAGTCTTTCCAGGCTTGGTTACATCTCCCACCCCCAACCCCCTCCTTCCTTTACCTTGTAGCAAAATAGACATAGTCAGTGGCTTGGAGATGCTTGGAGAAAGGGTGGTGGAAAGTGAAACGTCTCCAGCAGGAACAGTGGCAGGGACGCTGAGCAAGACGGAGAGGGTGGCAGAGCCCAGCAAAGAGGCAGAGATGCGCGCGGCTTCTTAGCTCTCCTGGTACCAATTGATTCAGCCTGGAGATGGTGGAAGAGATAAAGGCTTAAGAAGGGGGATGGAATTTTTTTCCCCCCCTAAATTGATATTTAATGGGAAATCCTATTGGACAGCAACCTGGACATGAGTCACTTAATTGGACTTGACATCTGTCACAGTGTTGGAGTTTTCACAGCCCAAATATTTTAGCAGATTGGATTCCCACTGAATCTGTGCCATAAAATATAACATTGCAAGCAGTCCATGATAGGAACTTTAGCCTTTAAGCAGAATATGTAGCCATAATCAGACTATTTCTCTTTTTCTGACGATTGATGCACGTAAACAACATATTGACTATGGAAAAATTATCCTGGCAAATTATAAAGCCAGCATCTTCCTGTAATGCGCAGGAAAGTATTTGTGTCCCGAACATGGAAATATATACTGTATGTGGTACTGCAATAAATGTATTCAGATATGCACTAGCCACCCTTTTTAGTAATCATTTCCACTTTAAAGAACACTTCAATAGGCTTGATTAAGCTTATTCCTATTTTTCAGAGATATCTTCCCACTGGACTAATTTTCCAATATGTGATAAAAACAACAACAACAACCCTTTCAATAGATTGTCATAGGTGGAGCTGGGAACAGAATCCAGGCATTATAATGGCAGGGATCACTAGACGAGACCGTTGGACTTTCTGAATATATTTGTTTTCCTCTTCACCCTCTCATTCATTCAACTTAAACTGTGGCATCCCCCAGGTGTTGATTATGCAGCTCATTCTTGCTTGTTTTCATCTATGACTATTTCGCCGTGTGGCAGTGCATTGGGCCAGGATGTAAACACATACAAATCACCAGTGTATTCCAACACGTAATGCCTTTGCCTTACACGACCCCATGCCTCTGAATTTATATGCCTTATAACAAAAGGGAAAATCTAGTTCAATTATTTTGCCACTGTGAGCCACCATCAATTACAAATTATTTGCAATTATTTTAGCTTTTTTTTTTTTTTGATAGTGCAAGCATGAAGCACCCTCCCTCCCCAGTCCCTGGGGGAACTTTGGTGGAGAGAGGAGCCCTCACTTGCCCTCGGAGATCAGTTTTGCCCGAAACACAGGCTTTGTCATCAGGGAGGGGGTTGGTCAGGCCGCCCCTGGGAGTGACCCTCTGGGTTCCTCATGGCTGCCACCAGTCCTGTGTGCCTTTGCACACGTTTTTCATTCTATGGGAGATTCCTGGACCAGCAAGGGGTGGGTGAGAACAAGGGGTGCCTCCACCCAAAACGGGCACCAGCACTTTCCAGCTGCACCTCCTCCCCGCCCCAGCGCAGAGGGACATTTAAGTGGAGGCAGGAGCCGGCCACATTCAGGTGGCCATGGGAACAGGTGAGTGGGTGAACTAACTCCTCCAGGTGGTGCAGATGAAGGGAGAGGGAGGTCTCCCCAGCCTGGCTGGGAGCAGCCAGCACTCTGCATTCACCCACACAGAACCCGGAGTGAGCACACAGCCGTGCTCCCAGGGGTACCTGTGTTCCCCACCTCCCGCTCCTCACACAGGCCCGCGGGCTGCTACACCACTACATGACTGGCAGGTCGAAAAGCCTGGTGGACCTAGCCACCACAGTCCACACGGCAGCTGCTGTAGTGGAAAGTGACTGGTATCTGTGTTCACCCTGGTGTTGGGGGAGGAGGGACAATGAGGGGGACATCCCAGGACAGGGTGGAGTCTCCTGTGGTGTGTGTGCATCTAGACACGTTCTCTCTTCCATTCAGGCTTCTGATTCCACACTTACAACCTGTGGGTGCATAAATTCATACACAAGGAAGCCTGTGTAAACAGGTACACACTCAGACCCATATGTAGTCATGCCTAGACACGCTGTCATGGTCACAGGCATGGACTCACACTCACACACATGCATTCTCTCTTCCAGGAAGGCCTCCCTGTGCCCTGCTGCCACCTCTCAGACCTCCTGGCACAAATGGCCCCTCCTTCTGTGCCCCATAGGCCCTCTTCATAGTTCCCCACAACACATTGTGTACCATGATTCTTGGTTTCCATACTTGTGTCTCCCACTGGGCTGTGATGCTTCCGGGGAAGATCTGTAGCTATACCCCAGCCCTGGTGTCTGAGTGTGACATATTATACGTACTCAGTATATTTATGTCAACCAGCTTCCTGTGCACAGAGGCACCCAGGATGTTTGTAAAGAGAAACACTTCCACCTAAAGACACCCATGGTTTCAGCTGTACCACTTTTGTCTCCTTGTGAGGATAGCAACCCTGCCCTACTCACTCCACCGACTGGTTATCTGAAAGTGTTTTATAAAATACCAACCACCATACAAGCAAAGCTATTGTGGAATATTAGGAGGTAACTAGTGATTTAAAAAGCCCGACTTTCTGGCTCTATCATATGCTACCTGTGTGAATTTAAGTGAGTTACTTAGCCTTTCTGGACCTCCGTTTTCTATCTGCAAAATGGGGATATAAAAAGTATGTTGT